CGGGTAGAATTAGAGGTGTCCCAATCATCATACCCTTACATTTCACTCACCTGGATCTGGGCCTGACTTTGAGGCTATGTGGCCTAGGTCTAGGCTTGCTTCCTATTGGTAAAGTACAAAACAGGAAGTTGCCTCAACCTTTGTAGTCATAATTCTTCAGGCATTGCTCTCTATAGAGGTTAAAGGGCAGGGAAACTATAACTCCCAGGAAGTACTATGGTAGTTTCTCTCTTTTTTGTACATTGCCAACAGGAAGCAAAGCAGGAGGCAGCTCTGCAGCCTCTGAGATAGGCCTGGTGCAGGTGAGTAAAATGTAGGGATCTGTACATGTCTGCTGCTGTGGGTCTGTGGCCGGGAATTCCCAGATTTCTGCCTGGGGAATTCTTGGAGAATCCCGGGAAATGGTTCAAGTGAAAGAGAATAAAATGAAATAATGAATGATGCACCGCCACATCCTATGGCATCAGTGATCTAAAGATTTCTTTCTTTCTTTCTTTGAGAATCCTGGGAAATGGTTCAAGTAAAAGAGAATAAAATGAAATAATGAATGACGCATCCCTAGTAACCACCACCACCACATCCTATGGCATCAGTGATCTAAAGATAAATTATGCTGGGCTAATAGAAGGCATAATTCATATTGTAAACGAATTCACATTACAATATGAACCAGAGCTTGTGAAAATTAGTTCTTTGGGGCTGTAACTCCTGTCCATAAATATGCCAGTGGCTGTGCTGGCTGGAGATTCTGGGAGGTACAGCCCAAAAAGTAACTTTTTTTCAAAGCTCTGAGCAAGACTCGTACTTCAGGAGGTGTAACTGCTTTCGAGCGCATTGTGTCTGAAATACAATCTGCATTTTCTAGGCCAGGGCAAACTTTTCAGAACTTGGTAGCTTCTAGTGCAGGATATGTGGTTGGAACATGAAAGCCGAGCAGTCCCTCTGCTGGTCAGACCCCAGCCACTTGCAGCACAGATCTACAAAGAAAACGGCTTTGTGTCAGCTATCGATGAGCACAGATCCCAGGACTCTACCTGGTCCCTCGCTACTGCACTCCAATAAAAATGAGCTCAACACATTTTGATACCTGAATCATGACAAAGTACTAGATAGTGACCCTCTCCCCCAGTTCTTCCTAAGGGATCAGCAACTGAAGTTTACTTCAAGAATGGTGACTGGACAGCATCTTGCAAAGCATTTGAAGGTAGCAAGCTAGCTAATACCCTGTTTCCCTGAAAATAAAACCTAACCTGAAAATAAGCCCTAGTATGGTTTTTCAGGATGCTCATGATATAAACCCTACTGCAAAAATAAGCCCCAGTAAAGTGGAACCCCATCTTCCACCCTTGTGAAGCAACCAGAAGATGATGACATGACTGTATTTGAATAAATGTAGATTGTTGTACATGAAAAAATAAAACATCCCCTGAAAATAAGCCCTAATGCGTTTTTGGAGCAAAAATTAATGTAAGACCCCGTCTTATTTTTGGAAAAACACAGTAGGTGGCTATGACAGTCTACCTGGCACTTACAGCTCTGTTCTCCAAGATATTCTCACTATTTTGTGCCCATCACCAACATCTGCCATCTGAGATGCCAGTTTTCATGCTAAAGAGCATTTCTAGAAATTCAAGTGACAGACCCAGGAAATGGAAACAGCTAGAGAAGAAGAAATACGGAAGAATCAATATTAACAATTGCTCTTCTTAATATTGCCATAATACAGATACACGAAGGAAACAAAGTTACCATTGTGCACATCAGGATGTCTTCACAGTTGGGTATCTCAATCTCAGGTGCACACACAAAGTTCTCTTCTCCCATGGAAGCATCTACAAAGCTGATGGTCATTCTGAAAGGTATGTCTTCCAGACAACTCATGGTGCTCCTCCTTATGTTACACTCTAATTAAAAAAAAACACACATAAGGAAAGCATGGTTTGATTTGTTTACATTCAGCTTCTTTGGTCTGCTCACATTATAACAGCACAACTGATCAAGCCATTCCCTTGAACAAGGCTTGTGAAATGTATGGAAATGGCATGTAAGAATTCCCTGAGGTTGGTTGCATGGAAGAATTTGGTGGGGGGAAAAAAATTTACACAAAACATGCTGTCCATTACAAACCAACCGCAATAAAATCAATGACAAACAGCATTTCAGCCCAATAAAGGGTTACTTATAGATGGGAAAATCCAACCAAGATGAAAATGTTGTATGTGCCAGTTCTATAGCTATATTGAATAAACCACAGGCAGCACTTCAACTTGGTAATGAGTTAATAATAAACATAGCAGCCGTCCAGGGTGAACGGCTCATGTTCCAAGGATCATGAAATTTGACTCTCTCTAAGAGCCTGATCTACTACTTCATAGAGTTGTCGTGAGGTTAAAGCAGGGGACCAGGAAACCCTTGTACACCACCTCAAGTTCACTCTAGGAAAAGTAGACCATTAATATACCATAAATGAGTAACAGAGGCTTCCTATGAGACCTCCCTAAATGTGTGTCATACAAAGAACAGAGAGCACTTCACTCCAATAAGGGCAGAAAAGTGGACATAAAAATCAAGCTCAGATGAAAAGATTTAACAGGATGGTTCCACACCTGTTCTGCTTTGCTCTGGGGTGGGTCACAAGTTGGACTCTTACTGTCCAACGTGTTACAGCGCGCAATTCCATGGCTTTCAGATGTGCTTGAAGTTTCTCGTCCTGTAATTTCAGAGCTAAGAAGCTCAATTCATCCCTATGAGTTCAACCTCCACTAGCACTAGCCTTGATGGAACTGCAAAAGGCAGGATGCGGGGATTGGGTTGAACTCCTCGGATGCTCAGTCCAGAGGCTAGCCATTCAACGGGGAGTTTTTTTGTGACACAGCTTGGGGGGACAGGGGAGAGGGTGGATGTTAGCCATAGACTTCACACATAGCTGCAAGATACACCATCTCCCCTTCCGGAGGTTGACTTTCTCATCAGCCAGAGCTTCATATATGTTACGTCACTGTTTTTCCCAAAAGGATGGTGACCGAGGGTCCTAAGAAAGCAGTTCCTTAACTGGAAGCTAGAGTTGTTCCATACAAGACTCCCCCTCACCCCCACCATCACCTATCCTGGCTGGCATTCTTTTTTCATGGAGAGCTTGGAGGAAAGTCACCTATTTCCCGTCCAGATTCCCTCAGATACAGGCAAATCACATGGTACGGGAGAGTCCATGCTGTGGCAAACAAGATGTCTTTCATCACTTTGGGAAGGATCACCGCAAAAACAGGGTAAAACACACCCTCTGGTTTGATCCCCAGATGATTGCCTCATATATGTAATCTGGTTTTGCCAGATAAGACTCTTGCCGATTCTGGTTGACACAGCTGTGAAGTTTACACTTGCAGATGTGCCGTGTTCAAGATGTGCCGTCTTCCCCATCTTCTGATTGACTGATAGGCTGAAAATCTGTTAACGGCATGAATGTCTCTAGTTGCTGGATCTCTCTTACGTCACCATCAGCTTCATCTCCCTCCTGCTTCCTCGGACTCCTCAGACAACCTTCAACTTCAGTGAAACGTAAAGGCGCACCTGGGCTAAGTTGGCATCGGTAATTTCAATGAAGCTCTTCTAGCTTGAAAGGCTAACGTGACAATTGCATCACCTGGTAGTCCAGCAGGAAGGCCAGATGTAAGGCAACCAACCAGCTTTGCTACCCTGCACGTGGACTTCCAGTAATGCCTTCCACATGTCAAGCTTTTGGAGCCTCGCCAAGGCTCAGGCCATCTGCTGCTGTGAGGTAAACCCTGGTTCTACGCAAGCAAAGATGTAGATAACTGGAGTGGTGGTGGGGGGGGGGAAGAGGAGGATTTTGGTGGGAAGGAAATGGTACTTAAGTGCTGAACCAAATTGGGGTTTCGTGCGGTTGCTGATGGAGCCAAACAGGTGACAACAGTCCTTCACTGCTAAGCTGCTTTTCTTTTGCTTTCTGTGTGGCTTAGCTGGTGCTTCTGACTGCCATGTCTCAAGGATCTGAACCATTTTTATTTGACATGAACTGCACAGAGATGACTTTTTCACAATTGGAGAGACATTGCAGAAAAGGGGAAAGTACCATTGCCAATTCTAAATAATGGGGTTCTTTTTAATATTTTCATAAGAGAGGCATGCTTATATTGATGATTCCGGATACTGAAAACAGCAGTAACAGAGGGAGGAGTTTCAGCACCAGGCTCAGATGGCTTTTCCACACTGTATTATAAAAAATTATCAGGGGAAAGAAACCCATTAAAAGAAACAATAAATCAGTTTTTACAGAAACATGGAGAGAAGCGAACATCATAATTATCCCCAAAGAAAATAGAGATCCAAAGGATCAAAAGAATTATAGACCTCTATCACTGTTAAATGTAGATTACAAAATATTTGCTCAAATATTAGCAGAGAGATTCAAGAGGGTATTGAAAGAATGGATTGGGGAAGATCAAACAGGATTCTTATGACACAGACATATGAGACAAAATGTAAGATTGGTAATAGACATGTTGGAATTCTATGAACAACATCCGGAGAAGAAGTTAGGAATGTTTTTTCTAGATGCGGAAAAAGCATTCAATAATAGTAATTGGGAATTTATGTTTGAAGTTCTAGACACAATAGAAGTAGGAGATATTTTTTTAGATAGATAAAAAGCATATATAGCAAACAAAATGCAAGAATAATAGTAAACGGAGAGAAAACTAATCAATGTCTTTGGTAGATTTGCCCAAGATACCAAAATTGGTGGTTCTACTCCAGTTGTGCCAGCTTACTAACCTCTTAGAATTTTTCAGCATGGACTGTGTAATGCCATACGGTCCCTTGAATTTTAAGGGGCATTGTTTTTATTCACACAAAATCAATATCCCACTCTTCTGTTGCTTGTATGTTAACCCAGAGCAGCTTTGCAACCATCCTGGCAGCACTACAGGGGAAAGGAAGGCAAGGCACAAACAGAAGCCAAAAGACATGTGGCCACCAAATGTGCCATCTGTATGTGGGAGAAGAAAGCTATAGGGTACATATATGTACACAGCATAAAACCATCCTCTGCCGAGTTGATCAAGTGCCACTCTCAGTGAAATTTAGAAACAACTTTCACTTACAATTATATATTACAAAGCCAAAGGCTGAGGCACAAACTTTCCACTTTGCTCTTCGATCTCTGACCTGAAGCACTTCAAATCACGGGGGTGAGGAAACGGCTAAGTAACAAATACGCCAAAATGGGATTCTTTTTAAAAGCATAGCACATAGCTATATACTGTATTTCTTACAGAAGAATCTCTTACAAACTGTGTTACTTTAACAGTGATGAAGAGAGGTTTGCTTACAAAATCCTACATTGCAATAATTGTGTTAATCTCTTAAGAGTTCATAGGAATCTGTTGTTTTTATTAAAATTAAACAATTTGGTACCAAGCTAAATTTGCTAAGGATAGTAGGGAATTAAGAAAATTGTCCCCCAAAACTCTCACCAAAATATAGCAAACAAAAATGTTTGAGCTTTTCTTCCAAAGGTTTAGCAGAACTAGTCAGAGTAATTCATAGTAAAAAGCAAACAAAAACAAAAATGACAGATAAATATTTACACACCAAGACTTGTCCACAGTGTAGTCAAAAATGCTATTATCGGCTTAGCTCAATATGTGTTCTTTTATCACACTGCATTATAATCAGTTTTGGAAAATAACACATTCTTTTAAAGAACAAAATAATGAAATAACTTTACTTGTTGATTTGAATCTGTACTTAGTGACAGTAAAAGAGAGAAATATTATTTTATAAACCATCTACATTAACCCTGCCTGGGCTTACCTTAGAAAGAAATTGTTCAAGTGCTCATTCTGCAGAAGGCGGAGGAGTCTTGTTGACTGTCTCATACTTGGGTCTTAAATGCTTATACAGGAAGTCAGGTGAATGCCTGGCTCACTCAGCATAAGCCTGATGATTAGAGCTGCTTCAAGGGTTAAGCCTATGTCACCCAGTTTTCCAAAGGACTAAGACAACTAGCCATTTACTCCAACAAGTCATTTTTATCGACAGGATTGCTGTCCCGTTGTTTCAGGCACTGATGAAATATGAATTACTCTCAATGGTTAAAAAAGGGGTAAGGATAATTTGATCAAAGGCAGAACAGGAGGGAAACAGTTTTAGCTCTGTTTGTCTATAAAAATTTGCAAAGGAAATATTTTCAGTTGTTGTTTCCAGAATTAATCATGTTCTCTGTTTCTGCCCATTAATAATGGAACAACACAACTCCCAAAGTTTGCAATGACTTGATAGGGTGGGGAAGATCATTTATTTTCTTTAAAAAAAACAGACAGATTCAGATATGCCGTGCAATAGTCTTAATTTGTTTTTCAAATATGAGTATACCTTGGTAAGTTTGTTAAATAGTACTATTTTAAGTAAAAGTACAGTAAACCTTTGGCGCTTTTCTGTTAAACAGTATTACAAACAACAGTTTTGATAATTTATTAAATATAAGTACAACCCTCACCTTCCTCTATACACTTGGTATAAAACTGTAAAAACAAAAAAACGGCACTTGAGAAAATTTACACTACAATTTGTTCATAATTTTTATACAAAAACCCTCATGTAAATGTATCTAACAGTTGCTACATTTGGTATTCAGGTGTTGAACAAAGGGCTTCAAAGTATCTTTAAACTGGACAAATTGTAAATACTTTTGGTTGCTAGTAATAAGATCACAGGAATCCACTCTGCCTTTTATGCACACTGACAAAAATGCTCTCCAAATTAGGAATACAAAACCTAGGTCTCAAACCCTTGGTTTGCAAGGGTCATGCAAATCACAGCTGGCCCAGAATAGTAAAATGGGCTTCCACAAAAAGGATTGTTTATCTGACACTTTTAAATTAATTTAGCACCTATCTTTACCATGCCTCCTTTAAAAAAAAGGAGAAAATGCTTTCCTATGTACATCATACAAACAGATGAACTATCTAAGTAAGTGCAATGTGCACCAATAAAATAGCAATGCGACTAATTCACTTCACACTGCTCCAGCTTAGTGGTTTAGTTTTTAAATGGACTAAACCACATTTGAAAGGAGGAGCTAATTACTGACATTTGTCAATTCACTTAACTCACTGTGGCTAAGGCCAAGATAACATAACAGAGGCTTATTTTTTGAAATAAAAGAAGCTGAGAACCTGAACACTGTACAAATACCTCACTAAAAGTCTTTAATGTTACTTCAGGATCATTAATACTGATTTCTCATGAAAATCCAGATTATTAAAAAGACATGAATTGATATTCAAGAGATGCATAAGCTACATGGCCCCAAGACTGTGCCTCAGCAGAGCTCAGTTAATTGCATAGCTTCGTACTTTTGGCTTTGTTGCTTCGCAAGCCACTGAACAAAATCATTTCTCTGCTCTTGGAACTTCAGTGTTGACCCTACAGTGAGAAGATGCAACTTCTACGTTTTAAAGTAATAGCAGCAATACATTATAAACGTTTGCATGCTGATGAAGACATCCAGCAACTAGAGATAGGCATAAACTACTGGCTCAGCACCAGCCCGGCCTGTTCAATGCTCAGCAGCAGTGGACACTTACTGGAGAGGGTGGGAGGCTAAACCGTAGATCAGCTGTTCGGCCAGGAAACAAACTGCACTGCACTGTCAAACCAGCAGTTTGTGCCCATCTCTCACAGCAACAGAGAGTTTATCAGGCTACCATGATGAAATTGCTACTATATTATCGTGACCCAAACTTTTAAAAAGCCAATTCTCAGCAAGGCATCTCTGGCATTGCAACCTTCAGAATTTCGTTTTTTCTGAAAACGACAGACTTCAAATAATTATCCTGTCATCTGAATAAGCCATTTCACATCCATCTTGTGTACAGTGTGGTCCCGCTATAAACAAAATATTTATGAGGTATTTAAATGCAAAGAAGTTCATGAAAGGTGCTCTGTCACTCATGCGCTGATACTGTTGGACTTAAGTGGGGTTCTGAAGACATCATTTGACAGCTGTGGCCCACACATCATTGGAAGGAGGACTGGGAAGAACCCATCCTGGTGGGATAAAATGTCCTTCAGGGTGATCGGCAGGCACCAAGTATCGATCCCATTCATGCCTTTAACAGAGAAAACAAGTTAGGTCATATATTGAAAATCATGCTTTATCTTGGTCTGATGCATTCTCTTCACCTTCCTCCTCTTAGAATTTCAGAACTGGAAGGAACCTTATGGATTGAGTTCAACCTCTTATCAGGAAGGCTCCACAGCCAGCTGCTTTAACCACTGAACTATCCAGCAGTTCTTATAACCTGTATTCAGAAAAGCTATTCCCAACTTGCACTGCCAGTATAGGAAGATCCATACACTGGAGATGCCCAGTTGGAGATGGACGGCATGGACTTGAGTGGGGTTCTGAAGACATCATTTGACAGCTGTGGCCCACACATCATTGGAAGGAGGACTGGGAAGAACCCATTCTGGTGGGATAAAATCTCCTTCAGGGTGAACCTACCTAACATACTCCTTAGGAGAACCCGAGTCAATATTAAGAACAACTTTTGTACCTTATGCTATTATACTTGTACTAAAACACACTCTATTTTTTTCATCAGCACAATGTCCTTTGTTTTATAAGGAAGCAAGAAAAGAACATAATTAAGCTGAATATTTTACAACTTGAATGTAAAAAACATTTAATATTAATGGCCCCAAATACAGATTTACAGCAAACTAACAACCCTGCATTTCAAGAACAACTTGCTGCAAAACAGAAGAAATCAAAATGTATTATTAGACCCAGTGCCTTGCCTGTGGTGGCTCCTGTGTCTAGGACCCAGGGAGGTTTGGGTGCACCAACCGTTTTGTTGACTGCAGCTTGCAGGCAGTTGAAAAGTAATGGCTACAATATATCTGACTTAACTGAAAGCAGATATGAAGTTTCTATAAACACAAGATCTAGTAAACTAATCTGCTTTATTTACTGTAATACTATTTACTCTTACCTGATCTGGATGAGAGATGACACAGAATATTCAGCTTGCAAATAATATTGGGTAAATGGCTCCAAAATATGGGTGAGAGGAAATTCATCTGTTGAACATTGGCAAAAGATAAGAATAAAACACAAAACCAACAAACAATATCAATTAGCTATTTTTATGCCAAGAACTGAAACCATGTTATTTGCTACTAAGCTTTTTTTTTTTTTTGCTTTTAAATGCTGCTGCTTTGTACCCTTCCTGAACATGTGCAGAAGCTCGAAAGGGATGGCATAAATATATTTAAAAGGGCCAAAATAGGGATAGATAAGAGTTTTTATAAATTTAATCTAGGACTGTTTGCAAAATGAATGTAAAAAAATATTTAATATGTACTGCACTAAATACGGATTTAAACTTAAAGCAAACTAACAATCTTACATTTCAAGAATAACTTGCTGCAAAACAAAACAAGGAATCAAACAATGCAAGCAAGTAAAAAAACAAAAAACAAAACATAGCTCTTGAGCAAGGAGACACAGAAAATTACCTGCATCCCCAAACAGCTTGGAGTCTATTTCACGCTTTTGCTGCAAGAGTTTTTCCTTTTCCTTCTTCTCCTTCTTCTCCAAATCTCTTTTCCTCTCCTCCTCTTGCTCTCCTTCCAGCATCACTCTTAGAGCTCGTTCTTCAGCTTCATAGAGTTCTGTCCGCTTTTTTATTAATGTCTTGAATGCCTGGACTTCATTTTCAAAGGCTTCATCTGCAGCAGGGGGTGGGCAAACACCTAGACTCCCCAAAACACACAGCAAAAACTGTAATCATCCCAAAGTAATCAAAATCAGATTATTAATCTGCTTTTTAAATTCCTAATCTATTTTTCTACCTAAAAGAATCCCCTGACAGCCTTACAAAAAATGATTAACCACAAATAAATAAAAGATGAAGGTATTCCCAACAACAAACAATCTTTTCCCAAGGTGTGCCATTACACAGCAATGCACTCTATACTCCGTGTGCCTTTCCTTACAAGACTGCCCAAGGGCAAAGAAGGCAGGAACTAGGTTGCTGTTCTGAAATATGCTAAGCATTTACAGCAGACATTTGCAACAGGGGCGAGCAATCTGTAAGATCTTTGACAGTCCCCAGCTCCATGTACACAGAGAGAGAGAGAGAGAGAGAGAGAGAGAGAGATAGGCCTCCAGTGGCCATAAAAAACAAACATTCAGGAGTTGTTGGGATCACACATGGGAAAATTGCCTCCTAAATTCAAAGGAATGAGGAGCAGCAGGAGGGCCACATGCAGTGCGTGGACAGCACTCTGCCCACCCCAATTTACAAGAACATAAACAACTCCCCCACCAAAAAAACTAAAGGGCCAGGTTCTTAGAGGACACTCAGACAGGCACCAAACATTTATTTTAATTGTGCAAGTTTGCCTAATCTGCTTTCCACTGACATCAAAGCCAAATTTACTGGAAGAAATAAAGTACAACAGATAAGAAGGCACAATCAGTCTAACTGAACTGTTGGGTTTGTAACGCAAATAGCTTTCCAACTGACCATGTTTTGGCATGAGTATGGGAAACACAGAAAACAATACTTATCTGTAATTCTGGGGGGGGGGGAATCCAAACATATTACCTTTCCTTCCTGCCGGTTTTTTTTTTATTTTCCTAAGCTTTTCCAAGCCACGAAGAATTTCTGTTATGCGCTTTGTGTCTGCTTGTTTTTTCCTTACTTCGGATAACACACTATCCGCAGCAGCTTTAAGTTCTTGCTCCTAAAAACAAAACAGAACAACATACAATAACAAAACTGAAGACCCAGATATGCAGAGTGGCCACCTAGTCCAAATCCTGCATCCAACATGATTCTCAGACAGCCAAGTGCAAAGCAAGAGAACAGCTCCCTCCCCCTTAGCTATCTCCAGCAATTTGTGGTGCTAACCAAAGCCAACAATTACTGAAAAATCTATCCCTATGAATTTGTAGAACGATCAAGTTACTGCATACCCTGCTTCCCCGAAAATAAGCCCTAGTATGATTTATCAGGATGCTCGTAATAGAAGAACTACCCCCAAAATAAGCTCCAGTTAAGTGAAACCCTGCCCTCCACCATTGCACAGCATTGTGCAGCAACCAGAAGATGACATGACTGGACTGTACTGTACTTGAATAAATGTATATTGTTGTACATGAAAAAAATAAAAACATCCCCTGAAAATAAGCCCTAGTGCATTTTTGGAGCAAAAATTAATACAAGACCCTGTCTTATTTTGGGGGAAACATGGCATATCCAAAGATTACTCTGGGGCTAAAAATTAGTGCTGGACCTAGCAACTAAATACATGGCTTATGCCTTATAGGCTCCCTGAATCAAATTTCTCCTCACTTGCTTTCGAAGTTGACTTTCAATATGAAGATGTAACGTTAAAATGAATGTTGCTATCATACACGTTTTTTCCTAAATTGAAATCATATTTCCAAGAAAGAAAAAGCCCAATAGAAAAGGAAGTCGCTTATTCAGTATTCCAAGCTGTGTATGCCAACTTAATTTTACCTTTAAAATGCAATATTAATGCATTACCATACAGGATTGACTTGTGTCCCTGAACTACATTTCCTTGACTTATTAATGACTTATACAACATCAAAGTACACAGCATTGTTATAAGCTTCTCTCTCACACACATACCCCAAGCACCCCAAAGCAATGTACAAAGCAGTTTACTGTACAGTAAGTGTGACTATAACTGCAGCCTCCAAGCTTTTACTAATCAAATTTTACTAATCAAATTCAAATCCCACCATGTTCAGTGGGACCTTGGTCCCTAGTAAAATGAGTACACTTGCAGCTTGAGCCTTTTCATATCTACTCAGCCCCAACCTTATACTAACAACAAACTAACCTTACAGGGTCAACATGCAGCCCTAAGTTTGTGTGTGAGTTCCTCAAACCCATTATCTTCCTAACTAAACAATCATATTCCCTAGGTGGTTAAAAATATTTTAGATGTAGTAACTCATTTTAAAAAGGAGAGTTCTGCAGGAGTTGAAAAATACCAATTTGTCAAGCCTGCAAATGGCTTTCCAGACCCTCTGATGTCCATCTTTCTCCCATTCTTAATGATCTCTGGAGCCCCCAGAATTTCCAGGGAGTAGGACACTGGGGTCCAAATCACAAACACTATCTAGCCTTGATGACAAATTATAGTTTCCTAACAGACAACAATACCAGAACAATCCAAAGACAAAAGTCAGCCATATCTTTACTAGACTACTTAAAAAAATCACAAACAAATCTTCACCAGGCTGAGCATTACAGCGCTGGGAGGACTACAGAAGAAACATAGAAGTCTCAAAATCCATGTGCATATATATGGTCTTGTTTAAAGCAAGTCCCAGAATGAGGGCTGTCGCCCAGAATCACGACAGGTAAAGTGCACGTCTGGCTATGCCTGTCATAGTTGCTGAGCCTGGAAGCATCTCCCTGAAAGCAGTCCTTCTGTCTGTTGGGAACTCAGCCCGCCATGTCACACGATCCCCAGAAAACAACTTGCACCCGACTGCACCAAAGGGGTCCGAACTGCGAATGGTTGTGACCGAGTGTGATCTCAACAACCTTGAGTAATCACAACCCTTGGGGACGTCTAGGTGTCCTCCGCAACCCCAGCCCTGTCACTCCGGGCCGGTTGAAAGGAGCCACAAAGACTTAAAAGCTAGCCTTTCCAGTGGCCTGATGAAATCCTGGCCACCTCCTGAGAAGGCAGGATTCTCTAGGAAAGACAAAAATAACGCGGGGAAAGGCAGCTGGAAGAGGGCCAAAACACGAGAGGATTCCCTGAAGGAACGCACAGGCTTGCCTTTCCAAGAGCTGAGCAGGCCGGCTGAGGGCAGGACCGGTGGGAGGCGGCTCGTACACAACCACAACCACATCTCTCTCTCCCCCCCCAAAAGTGTCCTTGGATTGCGCGGAAGGGCCACCGGGCTGGACCGGCTGCCCGGCCTCTCCGGGGGCCCTCGGCCGGCGGCTCACC